CCCTCAAGGGCACCGGTGCGTGATTGCGCAAGAAGTAATCCACCCCTTTGTCACGGACTGCACTTTCCAATTGCGGCCACCAACTCAAAGTACTGGACTTATATACACAGATGGTGAAGATGTTGGCACGTGCAGCTTCGTCACAAACGTCTTGGCGATCGTCAATGTGGATGTTGGCGCCGCTAGATGTTAGAACAGGTGTCTTACCACCAGGACCTACTGGATCGTTAACCACAGTTACAGTGCGAAACGGAAGGCCCTGTGATCTACAGTACTCCGCAAGGTTATTTGTGTCTTCTTCTGTTTGCCGACCGCGGGCGACGCCGCTGAAGGAAACGATATGGAATTCTATTCGGCCTTGTGCGATCTGCACTAAGCTTATGAACTTTTCCAAGATAGAACGATCAAATACCTTAAGGGCGTTTCTGGCCCAGTCGAGGGTGTCGTGCCAGTCGAAGAACACGACTAGATTATTGCCACTGGCACCTCGCTCTTGACGAGCTCGGATTAAAGGGCCTAAATCTATTCTACCCCCTGGCGCGCGAATCGCAGCACCTGCCTTACCTCTAGTAGGAACAGCTGCTGTTGATGTAGAAGACGCCTCAGGTGGTTGCGGAGGTGGTGTTGGTGGTGTCGACACTGGTGTTGCAGGTGGACTAGGTTTTGGGGACGCGGTCTTATGGGCTTTTGGCACAGGACGATCGGGTCTAGGGGGAACTACAAAAGGAGGTTGTTTAGCAGGTGGCTTAACTTTATTATGTTTTTGCTTCTGCCTCTCCGATTGATTGTATGCCTCTAGTGCTTGGCGATGTTTGCGATCGGCAAGTGACTCAACGTGTCTTTCCCAATCTTTATCCTGTTGTTCTTTTGAACGTGCCCAGGCCGCGTTCAGCTCCTCTTCTGTAGGTGCGGGTGGATCTGGATCAACACCTGGCTCGTAAGCTTGGCCAACAGTAATGGAGTAGTTGTAGGGAGGTCTAGGAGGAGCCTTATATCTCTTTTTGATTGGAGGACCTCCTGCTTGGGGCGCACGTGCAGCCCCTTCCCGCCAAGGTGGGACTGACGTAGACCTACTTGCTGAACTAACTCCGGGTGGAGGCGGCTTAGATTTAGCTGGTTGGGATGATGATCTAGGTGGCGGCGAACCTATTGATTTTGGAGGAGTCTTAGGTGTTGGGATATCAGGAACAAAAACCTCGGCTTTGGTGCCGTCTCGGAAGATTTGGGTTTGGATTGTACCTGAAACTCTTGTTGAAGAAGTTGTTATGGCAACTGGAGCCTCTTCTTCTTGTGGTGTGTCCCTATGACGCGATCTAGAACGTTCAGCACTTTTTTGCACTGATGTTTGCGATGGAGTGCTGGGTCCTTGAGGCGCTAATGGAGCAGCCTCTTCCTCAACTTCTACTTCAACCTCAACTTCCTCCTCACCCTCGGGCGGGGCTTCAGGAGGGTCAGATGAGTGATCCTCTTCCTCTTCGCCTTCTGGTTCACCTGGATCAGAGGGATCTGGGTCCTCGTCCGGTGCCTCGGGCTCAGATGGAGGCCCACCTGGCGCAGCAGCAGTTGATGTTGGTTCGGGTTGAGGAATCGATCTACGTCGAGATTGGTAAACTTGCCTACGCCCAGAAGAAGTTGTTGTAACAATAGCCCTTCTTTTTGGTGGAGGAACTGTAGTTTCTTCTTCTTCTTCAACCCCGTCTACAGGCTCTGAATCTACAGCAACTAGACCCTCAGGCTCTGAGATTGGGATTACCTGGGTATTATGGGAAGTTACTAAGGTAGTGTTGCTGCCTACCAAAGACGGGTCCCTCCAAACTTCGTCAGCAAGTTCGTGGGGGTCAACGGATGATGCAGCGGTGCCAGGAATGGCAACAGGGACAGTTGTGGGTTCCCTACCTGTGGTGCCTAACGGCTTTGAGATACGCACCCAAGTGCCCTCCGAGTTGATTACCACTGGGGGGTATTTAGTGTCAGTGGGCCTAAGGGCTATCGGTCGGGAACTAAGACTAGGGGTACCTAAGTTACCACCCCTTGCACGGCGCAACACTTCAGTGTCTTGATCTGCAAAAGAACCGTCAGCTCTCGGGATGAGAGTAGCGGGAACTCTTGTTCTAGAACGGCTGGCCGGCTTTGCAGGAGCTGATACTGCTGGTGATTTATCGATGTTACCACCTGCAACTGTTCGGACCGGATTTGTGCCAGCTCTCTCTCTCGGCCTCCCCCGCTCTGCCCTATCTAGGTCAGCCGCCGATGGCGGTGGGTGAGATGGTGGTGGAGGGATCGCTGTGGCATGTCTCTCACCTCTTGGCGTTGCAGCCCTTGGAGGGCGCTGCGGAGGGGGTCCTAAAGTCTGGTGGAAATCTCGATGTACAGGCACCGGCGGTGCTGGATAACTAGGTGCGGGTCCTAATCTTTTTAAAGGATTATCTTTGGGGGACTTAGCAACTTTGGGGTCCGATGCTTTGGGCTTAGCCGGTTCTGGCACGGATGCTTCGCCGGATGCTTTTGGATCGGATGGATGCTCTGGCCCCTTAGATTTAGGGCGCTTTTCAGCAGCCCCTCCCGTGACACGTGGCGGCGGAACACTGGCTACGGATTCTGAAACTTTCGGAGCGGATTGATGGCCTGCAGGTCGAAGGGATGGCACCCACGGCGGTGGGTGATTAGGTTCCTTAGGCTCTGACACTGGCTTAGGCCTAGCTTTAGCTTTCGGTGGGCCCCTTGGTGATGGAGTGTGGGTTTCTTCAGAAGAACTAACACCCCTATCTAATGATGGGTCAACACCTAAGGCTGTAGCTTGCTCGGGTTCAGATGGTAGTTCAGTATTTTGGGTAAACACACTAGCTTTGGCTTTTGCCTTACCTTTTGGCTGTGCACCCCTATAGGTATTATAGTCGTCCCACACGGATCTAGGTGGATCTGGGTCCCCAAAAGCTTGCAAGTTAATGTGATCCCTATCAGGCAAAACAGTATTTGCAGCAGTATCTGGAGCAAGATGCAATTCACCTCTTCGATAACCGTTGGTAAAAACCAAATTTCTATAAGGGGCAAAGGTATTAGCAAAGTGGACTAAGATCTGGTTTAGCGTACAATGGTTGTAGAGGACTCTAAAGACACGGACGGTCCAGATCAGTTCAGCGGATGCTTCTGAGTGGTGGACGTACCTGAGCCAGAATTCTGCCTCGTCCCAAAGGAAATTAGCCAAACGATCAAAATCGGCTTGCCAACGCTGGATGAGTTTCTTGGTTTGGGCTTTCTTCCCGCCTTTAGTACCACGTACACGGGGACCTCTGGACGGGCCCTGCAGGAGAATGGCCTGTTTGGACGTGTCCAGATGTCGAGGCGCCTGCGGCAGCCCCTTCCTGCTCAAGAAATGGTGATGTCGGGGGCGGTGGGACTTCGTCCTCTTCCGCTACCCCTCCAAGGTGTTGGACGTATACCGGAGCAAATGTCGAATTAGGATCTGGCTCAACTACGGATGGAGAGCTTCCTACAATCGGATCTGCAGCGGAGTCTGCAACCTCAGCACTAGTTTCTTGATCAGGGTTATTAGAAAAATCAGCTTCTTCTTTTGGAATTTGATTTTCGGGGTTATTATTTTCGAGATTGGTATCTGCTTCAATTTGATCGGATGCGTCAGGTTGGTCAACAGGCTCGGCGGTGGGATCGGCGTCAGCCTCAAGTGCTTCAAACAACTGCTCAGTAGTGACTTCCTCTTCCGGTTTGACCGGGTCAAGAAGGGAGAGTGCGTCAAACTTTAAGATGTCGAAGTCCTCGTCGGCTTCGTCCTGTAGGGCGCTAGAAGCAGCCCCTCCCACTTCAAAACCAGTTGCCAGCTCGGGCGCGTCTTCAGAGGCGTCTGCCCTGTTGAATCCAGTACTACCTTCAACAGCGACTTCAGTGCTTTGAGCAACTTCCGCCTCTGCTTCCGGGTTCCCGTCAGCAACCGGTTCGGGAGCGCTCAGAGCAGCTCCTTCCAACAGACCCTCTGGTACCATAAAATTGTGAAACAGGAAATCAGCGAAAAAGATGGGATAGTGAACGAGGTTGCGTGGGGCCTAAGTTACCGACAAGGGAGTTTAAGACTTTCCCAGCAAAAGAACACTAAGCCAATACGGCTGATAACCAGAGAAACAAGGGGGAAAACAACCAACCACGGTTTAAACTCCCTTGCCCCAAAGATATAAACATGTGCGCGCTTTTTACATACGCGACTTGAGCCATGCAGTCGCATAGCGGTAATGACCCTATGCTCGGTGCATGGTAATTACCACAATAGGTTACTGCTTTAACCATGGGGATATTTACAGTATGAAAGACTGTACATTAAGTTGGAGTGTTTGGTAACATAGCTACAGTGTGGAGTGAACTATTACTAGTATATACAGTGGTGGTATAGGGGTCGTAATATTTCTACTAAATTACCAGAGGGTACCCCATAATTTTAGTAATTTAACATAATTTACCAGGCGGCAGGGCCAACTTTAAGGCTGGACTAAGCTATGCGCAATGACACATCTGTTTCAGTCCAGGAATCACCCCAACAAAAAAAATGTGTTTTTGGGGGGTAGGATACAAATGACATATACGTATATATGTATGCATTGCATTGCGTTACAATATCCAAATATGTCCAACTATATCCAATTTGACCACTCAAAATTCACAAAACCGGGGCCCGGGTCATCTCTTTGGGGCGGTTGAATCACAACAGGAGGAAGCCCAGTTATATGATGGGCTTGGCCTCACCCTCTAGGATTCATGGTTTCCAGCACCATTTGGTGGGCCAAATCCCGTAAAAACATCTGAAAAATGCACAGTGTTTCATAGACGTTACCTTTCAATCCTTTCATAGTTACCCTCCAGTAAACTAACATAGCTATATATAGCTATCGAAAATGGACCATTAAAGTTGATTCACCTAAAATATGCTGTTCCAGTTCGCAAACTGTAAACGTTTACCAGAAACCTACAGTACCTATAACCAACTGCAGCATCTCCTCAAAGGATGGAGAGGCATCGGCCAGGGATGGTTTGGGCGGCTTGCTTGCCTAGCGATGCAGAGCGACGGGATTCGTATGGGAATATCAGGAGATACCCTCTGGTAAACTAACATAGCTATGGAAAATCACAATTGTTAATGGGAAAACTCACTATAAATGGCCATGTTCAATAGCTATGTTAGTTTACCTGAGGGTAATTATGGGGAGATAGTGGGATATTTATACTGCTTGGTGGTATACCTACCCCTCTGAAAAATGATGGAGTTCGTCAGTTGGGGTTATTGTTCCCAATAAATGGAAAAAAATCAAACCACCAACCAGTATAGAATTATATCGGGAGAACGTGTTTGGTCGCCCCAATGCTTTTGCTGATTAGAATGCGCTCAGTGTGTATACAGTTGAACACGAACGTTATTAGGGGGCGTGTGAAACGTGCACAACTTCTGTGAACGTGCACAACTGCTGGGAAACGTGCACAACATCTCTGAAACGTGCACATATAGAATACTTGAAAACACTGGGTGGGGGCGGTGAAACGTTATATTATTCCCAATTAATCCCAATTATATATATAATTAATAATGGTAAAATCCATCGTTGAGTGAATGGGCCATGGCTGACCGTCCAGCAATTTCCACATGGGAATTGGAGGTTGCACTGGTGATTGCTGGAGGTTTTTTATGTTTTTTCGTCAGAAATCTATGGGTAAAAAATGCCATTGCCATGTTCGATTGTTCTGAAGGGTACAACATGCCAAAAAAAAATCAGAAAATCGCCGAGGTTTTTTTGGGCATCAGGGCCTTGGTAATCTTGGAGTCCTTCTTGGTCTTCTTATCGCCTTTCTTCTTGTCCGTGTTCTTGTCTTTTTTCTTGGCTTCTTTCTTTTTGCCTTGGAAACACAACACATCACAACACCACGACGATGCGGGATCATCGTCAGCTTTTTTTTGGTGATGTAGATGGCACGAAGAAGAATCAAATGAATCAAATGACATTTCAAGATACCCTCTGGTTATTTAACATAGCTATGGAAAATTGCCCATTTACAGATGATTTTCCCATTAAAACCTCCATTTGTAAGGGATTTTCCATAGCTATGTTAAATAACCAAAGGGTATTTCGAAAAAATATCCGAAACCATCCGAAACCAACCATTCTTTTGGATCAGTTGCTCTCTGCTCTCTTTGGGTTCTTGGCCTTGGTCCTCTTGGAAGGTCTGCCGCGGCTGGATGTTTCGGCACGTTCGGGTTTCACCAACTTCCACTGGTGTCCAAAGAGCCCTCAGCGGTGACCCCGAGATTCCAGAGGGGTATGCAGAAACCTTAGACATCCTCAGACCGAAATGAAGGCCCTAGGGAATTGACCAAATGAATCCAAATGAGCTCAATCGCATCATTGTAAAAGTAATGTTCATGGTAAGCGCTATCAAATTTCGGATTTGAACCAACCAAACTGCGATTTCCGACCAACAAAATGGTGATGAGACAAAACCGTGGATTGAGGCCTGAGGCAATCAACATGTGGATTCAGCCAATATCCGAATTAAGATATCACCGACCAAAATGGAGATTCTCGAAACCAAAACATGCATGTTCGTTTTCACGAACAAAATGGAGCTCCAACTCTCCATAAGTTAATTAATGTCCTGATTCTATGTTGTGGAAAACAGGTTGAACAATATCTCTTCAGGTAGAAGGCCATGCAAACTGGGCCAGCGCAAAGAAAGAAACCTCACTGGCTGCGGTGGTACCATATATATGGAGCAAGATACGTTATAGTTCGCCACAGTTCGCCTATACCAACATCAGGAATATTCTGCCATATTCTGCCTATTTGAAGCATGGGCATCAAGTAAGAAAGGAAATGCAAATGAATGGATACACATGTGGTAGTACACGGCAAGTGTGTTTTTGGGTAGCTTTCTCACACCAATATGATCCAATATATCTATTGCTTCCGGTTTTTTTTATGCCAAGAGTCTTTTGATTTCATCACGGACCATCTTAAATTCTTCATCCGTTAGGAGAAGCTCCTTCTTGTGGATGTTCTTGAGACATGCTGCTGGCAGCTCGATGTTGCGACGTTTCGGTGCCATGGCTCACCAAAAATGATCGAAACTCGAACGCAGAAGATCGTGCTATGACTCAGGGACACCTGGACTTATGACTGAGGGATTTTTTTTTCAGACGTGTTTGTCATTTTTTGTTGGCATATTATGTCAGCGTAGGACACCGAGAGGTGTCAGCGCTCTGGTGCGCACGTTGAGCCGAGTTTGCCACAAGATGCTTGGTTTCATGGCAAAAAGGTGTATGATTGCGGATGATTTAGGAGAAAATCTGGAGCCTCTGGCAATTCGACACTTGCTCTGGCAAACGACTATGTGTTTAATAGATTCAAAACTATTCAAAAATAAATCATCTACAAATGGGACATGTCTAGTTCTCTCTCCATCGCCTTCTCAAGGAGTTCAGCAGAGCTGGCATGAAATCACCATGTCCATTGGTGAAATCCTATGAAAATCCACAATTTTTGCCTGTGAACTCCACATGGTTTGGGTAGCTCAGCTGGCGAAACCGAAACCGACCACGGTCCAGTCCCCGGTGTCCTTGAGAAACCATGGCAGGGATGCATAAATCCAGGTGCAGGCCAGTCGAGATTCAAATCCTTGGGCCTCGGCAATTGATGTGTTTTTCTTCAAAAAGAGTACCTTAGTGTAGACACATATTTACATATACCCATTCGGCGGCATATATATATATGTGTGTGTTTATATTATATACATATATATGTATATTTATATATATATTACATTCATCTATGTTTAAATATATATATATATTGTATTTATATATATATATATAGAGAAACCGGCATGAAGGTCCCCGGGTCGCCATTTGAAAGGATCCACCATGATTCAGTCGCTTTCCGGCCTCCAGTAGGTCGGTAGCAGCGACTTTGAATCCGTTGCAGGTTTGGTCATGGTGGTCATGGTCTCCTCCAGATGGATTGAGAAAACCATGGGATACCAATGGTATATTAGTGGTATATTATGACATATTAGTGGTATTGATATCCTATTAGACATAGATGACATAATAATTATAGACATAATGTTATGATAACAATAGATGGATACCATAAAAATAATTATTAGATCATATTGGTGGTATTGATACCCACTATTGTGGGATACCAACCAGGATATCCTCTGGTAAACGTTTACAGTTTGCGAACTTGAACATGGACCATTTATATATATATAGTTGATTTAGCCATTAAAAAAATGGTGGTTTTCCATAGTTAGTTATGTTGGTTTACCAATGGATACCATGGATCAATTCATTTTAGTCACTGATTTTGGCATCTTTTGGCATCTTTCTCTCTCTCTCTCTCAATTGCAATTTTGAAACATGTCATGGCCTGTTGAATCGCCGAATTTTGATCCATGGGCGTTTGCCGGGCAGACGAATGCGCGCTTCCTACATTTGAGAAGAAAGAGCATGATGGTGTGTCCAAACAACAAGAAATATTATAACATACCCTCTGGTAAACTAACGTAACTAACTATGGAAAATCACCATTTTCAATGGGAAAATCCACTATAAATGGTAATTTTCAATAGCTATTTTGACATAACCAGAGGGCACCTCCTTTACCACAATTCTGCCCAGCTTTATTTGTCTTTGTTTCTTCCGTGTCTTGGATTTACCGGTCACCATCGGTGCCGGTCCTTCAAGGCATCCTGGCTGGCTACAACTTCGGTGATCAAGTGATGCCAGGCACATTGGGGAACTAAGACTTTGGTCATTGGAAATTGGAAATCCATGGGAAACGCGTTAAACAAAGCGATCTTCCATGGAAACGGGGTTGGTGAATTGCCTCTGCACTCGGCTACTCCAATGACTCCAATGTGAAGTTTCATGATTTTTATATTTTTCCCACTGAAAATGGCGCATTTACAGATGAGATATGATAATTTACCGATTGAAAATTATGCATAAATCCCCATGATTGCGAAAAAAAAAGCTGCGATGGTTGAATCCACCATGAAACCACGATAAAATGCCAGATTCATGTCGTCAAAAACCATCGTTTCAGTGGTTTACATATGTTGAAAAACCATCTTTGTCGATCTTTTGCATGTCCTGCCTCAGAGGTGTCCAGCACAGAAGCAGCTACATCCCATCGTGGCCTCCAAGGTTTTTATCTGTTCACGATCTGTTCGATGTTTTCAAAGTTGGTTGGCATGAAGTTGCATGACGGACAGTAACATCAGTAACTGTGCGAACTGCCCAGGGGTCTAAAGAGTCTAGGACCCTATAAGAACTTGAGATACTTCAAGGAATGCCACCGTTCTACCTTGTCTACCTTGTCTACCTTCCATCTCAAAGCATCATACAAAACATTAAAACCATCAACGTCACCAACGTCGTAATCAAACGGGGCAGTCCAGCTGGGAAATCGTTTGATTACCGAAGGGTAAATCCCATTACAGTAGATCTGATTACATCAATTAAAATCCATTGACTCCCTGTGCAATCCCATTAAAAAAAAAAAAAAACACTGTGACTGGCTGAATCCCATGAAAAATCATCATGAAAAATTCCCTAAAACATATAACATATATCACATAAAATGATATAAACATTTTGGGATAGTTCCCCCACCAAGCCTCAGTGAGCTTGTTATAGCTTATCCATGTGGCAATCCAGATCTCTTTTTGGCCAAAAATGGCTTCAGAAGTGGACCCTGCCGCGGCCGCCGTGACCTGAATTGACAAGCGCCAGCGGCTTGCAGGCTTCCAGCTGACGATGCCCGGAGCAAATCTCTGCTGGCCTTACGAGAAGGCCATGGCAATGATTGGCAATGGAAATAAAAGGGAAAATCTCATCTCTATAATATATATATATATATATGTATGTATGTATTTATTTATTTATATATATATATATTATATATAGGATATGTCAATTGCCATAATTTGATTACCAGGGGGTATATGGCCTTTGTCTTGTCTCAAATTTCTGGGAAACCCCCAAGTCCCAGTGAAATTGCAACTCGGGGAGCGTACTCTTTTTCGGACACGTTCATATGGTTTTCTTGTATGGGTTTTCCCCTTGAACCAACAGAACCATCTGTGGGACAGCACTTGGCACTTCACTGCTTTGCTTTCTTTTCTGCTAAGAATGCTAGGATATACCCTCTGGTAAATTAACATAGACCCTGGCAGATAGGGGTTGGAAGACTAGTTTCCATTAAAAAATGGTGATTTTCAGGGTCTATGTTTATTTACCAGAGGGTAAACAGTCAGCCAGAATCCCCTTCTCCAAATAGGTCAAAAATGAAACCACGACCCGTGTAATATGACATGACCAAGTTTGGACGAAGTCAACGCTTGACTTGTTTGAGATTTTGGGAGATTACCACAACCAATATTGGAACTGTGCTACAAAACAATGATCAGGACAAAATCATACAAAATCAACAAAGCAAGGAAGGTAAAAGAAGTTGCAGCGCTCACGTGCATCAAACACCAATTCGTAAACCAAAAGTGAGACATTTGCGTGTCCTATTTCAACTTCCTGTGTGTCCGTATCCCTTCATGGGCTGAAAAAAATTCTGCGCAACTCGCATGGGGAGGTCCGAAAGATGGACACTGCAGGGATGCATTTCTTCAATTCCCCGTAGGTTGTCCAAGGCCACCTGGTTGGTGGTATACCTACCCGTCTGAAAAATATAAAAGTCAGTTGGGATGATTACTGTATTCCCAATATATGGGAAAAAATGTTCCAAACCACCAACCAGAAAATCCTCTAAAATCACCAAGAACCTCCAACGGAAAATCATCTTCCAATGGCCATGTTTCGTCACGAGCAGCTCGTCGCCCCATTTTTTCCCGCCGAACTGGATCAACGGCACCTCCGATGTTCGAAGTTGTGACTTATATGACTTGTGTTGAGTCATATGTTTGCTAGGCATTTAGCAATTTTAGCATGCATTTCTGATGTGTCTTCAAATTTCTTCATATTTTCTTGGGCTTCTTGGAATGGGCAATGGAATATACGAAGCCACCCACCGTGCTGGTGATCAAGCCTAACCATCCAAGCAGTGTGAGTCTCACCCCAAACATCATCATGCCAGCCACGGATGAGAGCACCCCCTTCAATGTTCCAGCCACGGCGGTGGACAATGGATTGTTCACAGCTGTGCACCAGAAGGTGGCATAGTTCAAGACAGCTCCCAAGATGACATAGGGCATCAAGAACTGGAAGAAGTGTGGGACCTCCCCGGGTTTTTGTAGGAAAATCATCACTTCACTCAGTTCCATCATTGTGAGCGGCACAAACAAGACCGAGTTGTAGAAGGCTGTGTAGAAGACCAAATCCATGGACGACAAATGCCCCTGATCTTGGGCATTTCTCGCTAGAACCAGATATAAGGACTGACAGGCGGCGGCCATCAACGCGAGGCCGTAGCCCCCAAAATCGAAATCCAAATCCCCCAGCCCAGTGACCACGGTGCCGATGGAAATGAGCAGCACCCCCCATGTTTCGCCGACATTGGGCCGGCTTCCTCGGATCAAGCCATCTTGAAGCAAGGCATAAACGGGTTGGAGGCGCTTCAGCACATTGTAGACTGGCAAACTGGTCCGTTTCATGGCCAGAAAGCTCAAATACATGTTTACAGCCTTGGTGATTGTCACCAAGGGCATGTGTCTCAAAATTTGTCCCGTGAAGGGCTGGTAGGCTCCTTTTTTGGATGACATGGCCAAACATAGCACGGTGGCCCAGCATTCGATCAGCAGCAGCAGTGAGGAGCCCGGGAAGTGCCAGGCCGAAGCCGCATATTTCGTCAGCGACGTCATGGCTAGCGAAGTGGCCACATAGGAGGCCGCGCTGATCATTCGCTCCATGGCTGATCGCGGGGCGCCCCCTTGGGGGATCAGATAGGATCAGGGATGGCTGCGGTTTCAGCTGCGGATGTGACTGGTGCGTTTTTCCATGGACCATTGACATCGCCGTGAAGCCTGAATTTGAGTGGAAGATGTGGAAGGTGGCTATGTTCCAATGCGTTTGCAACTTCCATGCCTCAAGTCTATCGGGATCCAGGTTTTGCGGAGGCAATGATCTTTTTGCATCAAATGGATGTTTCTCAAAATTGAGGTGCTGTGGTGTCCCTTTTCACCCACTAGTTTCCGCAACTGCATGGGATTAAATCAATTGGAGTCCAAGGCCCTCCAAGACCCCAGCTGGCAGCGAGGACAAGGACATCACCGTGTTCATGGTCTTCGACGCATCGTCCGAGAACCTCAACCGGAAATCTCTTCCAATTGTCGATAAGGATAAGGATCTTTTCAAGCTTCAAGCTGGTATTATTCATGCACCTGATTATATATATATATTATATATATATATTCCATATATATATATTATACATTCCATCTGGTATTCCATTTTATTCATGCATTTATTATTTATATAACCAAGTTTATATTCCAATTTTATCCATTGCAATCTGGCACTGGAAGAAAACAACTGGGCTTTCTGGCCGGAACTTGGCGGATTCCCTGATCTTCTCCTGTCATATGTTGGGGGTTTCCAATCATGGTTCCAACCATGGATATTGTTGGATGTTCTCTCATTATACAATGAATAAATGTGAATAAATACCGGAGAATATAATATATATATATATAATTAAAAATACAAATAAAATATCATAAAATCAAATACATGCCCAGAATTGCCAAATCTCACACTTTGAGTGTCCAAACCCAACTTCTAAGGGGGCACCAATTTTGAAATTATGAAATAATGTGATTCTCGCTTTCTCCATGTTGCTGTAAGCAATCGCAACTGTGGCCCCCCCTACACTTGTGATTGTCAGCCTACACTTGCGATTGTCAGTTGGTTTGATGTCACTTGGCTTATACCCCAGTTACACACATTTACCAATCATTTACCACATGTTTTCCACTTGACGGCGATTTTTGCTATACAACATCATATAACAACAATATATGGGTGGTCAAACCAAGGCATTTTTGTGGTATGATCATCGAAGGCTAATCCTGGAACATCGATCCATTCTTCTTGGATTCCCATGGTTACCAACATCCATAAACCTACCATCTGGTTATGACTAACATAGCCATGGTATAGATGGCCCATAGAAATAGATGGTATATAGATGGTTTACCATTCTTAATAGCATGGGTGGATCTTTCCATGGCGAACTGTTAAATAACCAGAGGGTATACCAAATTATACCAATATCTTTTCACCATGGCAATCCATGGTACAATTGGTACAATCTAACAAAAACCTGGGGTTTAGCACAGAGTCATCCATTTTCAGTGCGAAAAATAATCCTCATGGACGCTCCCCACCTTGGCTTCTTGTCGCAACAGGAAGGAGGATCGGGAGACGTTCAACGCTTGCTTATACGCTTCATCGCGTGCGTTGAAGCCAGTCTCAGGAGCCACAGATGTCATGTCTGAGGATATCTGATTATCTAAGGACATCTGAGGATATCTGCTGATATCTGAGGGGCAAGTGCGACAATGTGCAACATCATCCTTTGGAACTTTGCAGGTGTGCGGCTTTAGGTTGATACATTTGATACTATAGTTGAACTGAGTCCTGAGACCTGGGGAATCCTGAAACGGGTCTGGCAAAAACATGAAACAACCACCCAAAAATCTTGGAGCTACTTTCGGAACAATCGAATATCATCCGCTTTAAGATCTTTAAGCTTTCAGCCATTGGTATTATTCCACGATAGAGCCACTGGAATCTTTTTTGCAAGAGGCCACAGTCAGGTGCGACTCCATTGCAGCACTCCAACCAAGCAACTACCATCTGGTTATTTAACAGTTCGCCATGGAAAAACACCATGCTATTAAGAACGGTAAACTTGTAAACCATCTATTTCTATGGGCCATCTATACCATGGCAAACCGTTAGTCATAAGAACAGGGTAACCCAATAAAATCCCATTAAATCATCATATTCAATGGGTAAATCCACTATGAATCCACCAAGCAACTAACTTTAGTTGAACCATCACAGTCATCCCAGTCCGATGATTTTTTTCTCAGGGATCGGATCTCACTCTCACAGCGAGTTCAGCCCCTGGCTGCTTCATCTTTACGACGCTTCGGGGTTCCAGCCTGCAGCCACTCCAATTGCCTGCTGTTTTTGAGATTCTTGATATGATATGATATGATACTTGCAGGCCAATTGATTTATTGTTGATACAAAAGGTGCTGTTTCAACTATAGTTAATATGTGAGCTTGCATACGTGTTTTTCTTCTGTTTCCATTGTGATTTCACACGTTCCGGAAGCCTCAGGTTGTCAAACATGGCCGTGAAAAGGTCCCTTCAAGGCTCTGGTGTGAAAAGGGCAGCCATCTGGACAGCCATGGTAACACCAACCGTTGAAACCCTCATCTGCCTGATATCAAACCCTTTCATTGTCATACCGTCCTCCGATCAGTTCTTGATTGGTGCGAATGATTCAAACTACCACTAAGACCAGCACGCATTCAAACAAAATCTTGCTAAATCCAACTTCCTAAAAAAAAAAAAAAAACGCCACTGCAGCATGGTGCCCCTGCAGCGCAGCCTTGGGATGTGGGAAGTGCTGCATTTGATTCACGCTTCCCAGCCTGGCTCACCAGATGTCAGATGTATCTCCCTCATCCCTGATCCGTCATTGAACACGGATGGGGCCTGCCACCTCGGAAGTTTGGATCATACGTGATGGTCACATCCTGCAAGGATGAATCAGGTGATTCATCACTGATGCGAAGCCAATCATCAAACTATGGTGATTGGCTTCACAGGATATCCAATAGTTCAACTAAGCCAAACTGTCCAGCAGTTAGAAAACTGAGATTCCGTGACTTCAATGGAGTGTTTGTGTTTTTTCTGTGTGTCCGAGGTGTTGCTTCAAGGGCGTGAGTTGCATCTCAAATCGTGGTTGAAGGAGGCTTCAATCCATTCCACAACCAGACATTTTTTACCATCCTCAAATAGGTGTTGCATGTCCTCAACCGATGACAAACAATAAATATCTCAAGAGTACCAAGCAACATCATATTCATTTCTTGGTTACATGCACCTATGTACCATATGCAGCATATTGGCCAATTTGATGTGTGTAATTATATAAATTATTGTGTCATGTATTCCGATGAAATTCGGAGAAAGATGCCGTCTGCTCCAGATTCCCACATCTCCCACCTTGCCCGTGCCGTTGGCCACGTAGTTGTTGTTGATCAACCGCAAGCCGTACATCTTCAGCTCGCGTCACGGCAGTCACGGCAGTCACGGCAGTCAGGGCAGTCACGCTCGCGAGCTCAACACCCGAAGATCCCGAATCCCCTGTGACCCGCTGCGTTGAACCAAAAAGCCAAATGTTTCAAATGGCAATGCGAACTGTTTCAATCATGTCGGATATGCCGTAGATAATATGTGAGCGATCGGCAAAACCTCTATTATTGAAAAATGCGATCTCGGGTCAAAGTTATCGTTTTTGGGACTTCACTATATCGTTTTACAGTATATCCTGATTGCATCATCCGCATCCCCTCGCAAACTGCATGCGGAAAGCCTTTTTACGCCTCCACTTCGCGTCTTGGGCATCTTTGACTGCCCTGCGCTTTCTTTTCCAGCGCTTCAACTGTATGGTGGGTGTGGTGTGATACCCGCCAACGCAACTGCAAATCACAGTTGCACCATCCTTTCTCCAGCTCAGAAACAAGCTTTGAATTCAGTTTGTTGGAGGAAACCCGGGTGAGCTCTCACAGCGACATCTCCATACCTTTCATTCACTCGCCAGCGTCTGCGCAGCAAACCATCGACCTGGTCCAACGCCTTTGCCTTGGCTATCTTCATCTAGGATAAAGATCGTCAAACCGGACTTGCAGGTGCAGTTGTGCCCGAGATGAACCGGGATTGACTAAAGCAATGGAGCGCTGCAAAAGAATATGCATAGCAGCGAAAAGATCGCAATGAGCAAGTGATAATGTTAAACGGCAAAGGATCATCTCAAGAATCTTTTGGCATCTGGGCCATCCATCAGCGAAGGACATTTTGTCAAGAAATGGTTATCGTTTAGCTATCGTTTTCGTTATCGTTCAAAGAGGGAAACATTTTTGGGAAAATGGCATGAACCAAGGAAAGTTGGAAAGGATACCTGTTGTCATCGTCACTGCTTGCATGAAAGCACGGAACTCATCCGGAAGGCTTGAACAATGGCGGGACAAAATGAGCATCCAAACCCAGCTAGTTACCATATAACAATACGTGATTGGATACAAAACCGTTTGCAGCAATCAGAAATAAAGAAATTGGCCAGGATCAAGAGTGTCAGCATACTTTTGCACATCTTCCGTTGTGTGAGCTGGGCATGACGTGTACCCCACAACTGAGAGCCTAGATGATCTAGATGCTTCTAGAACAGGTATCCACCATCATGTCATCTACACAACCCCTTCACTTCCCACAATGCTTTTACATATAATATGATTCCCAGGTTATCGTTTTTGGGACTTCACTATATCGTTTTACATATCAAGATGCATATTTTTACATACGAGAGCGCTCGAATACATGCCTCCTACACGGAGAGTTTAGCCTCTTGCTCATGTAGATTCGCCGTAGTCATAAACAATTCAAACTCAAACTCGGCAAAGTTTCTGAACACCTTTTTACTGCAGGATTGCGGTTCGCACAGCTATGCACAGCTGAAAACTTATGGAAACGGATCTTTGGAAGTGGCATAATCCTCCCGCAGTTTACGCAACCACTCAGGTTCCTGTCGTCCTCCCAGTCCTTCCTGCAAGACTTCATAGCATCGCTGCAAGTGTTGAAAAGCAACTTCATCGCCGGCAGCATCGGGATGCATGTGCTTGGCGAATTCCAGATATTTGGATTTCAAGTCACTCTTCTTTGGCATCGTCCCCGCGCTGTATCCGAACAGTTCTAGACATGTTTCTCTTTCACCGCTTTCACCCTCTCCGCCAGAATCTGCCCAAAGTCGTCGCACGGAAGTGGCTTGTCCCACTTGTCCCGGCGGTGGACTGCTCCCCCAGGGCCGCGAGCACGCCGCTTGGCAAATGCGAGATGGATTCCTCAAGATCATGGTGGGAAAACTGTGGCCAGCGATCGTAGTCAGTTAAAGCATGTTGAATTTTACGCAAAAAACATATCCGGAGTTTGTTGACGTTGCACCTTTTTGCCACTGTCAGATTTGGTCAATTGCTTCTGTGAGAAATGGCAACAATTCTATGATTCAGCATGGCCATTTCGCTGAAGCCTGCTGCCGATAGGAAACGAAGAATGCATGCATATCATTGGCCTCTGGAAAGCCACAACAAGATGGAAAAGGAAAATCCCAATAGAATAGTCAGTGATAAACTACGTTTCGAATTATATGTTCCCGGGTTACTTTAGAGGCTGGCAATGATATATACAATGAGGTACAACAGCGCCCCTAGTGGGGAAGCAGGTCTTCCATGAGAAGAAAAAACTGAATATCATTCATGACTGTCAATGACCCCACTGGAACTCCTGGTCTAACGTCCATTTGAGTTTTCATCTATTCAGTCATTTGGTTGGTATGTATATATATATATATATACATTTGTTTATATACTTATATATTGGTTCTCTTATACTGGAAGTATTTGATTTTTGGGGTGATGAGTCTGTTCCCGCCCCCATCCCCACACTTTTCTTGCCGCAAGAGTGGCCAAAGATCCCAAGCTGCGCGGAGTTTAGAAACACGGTGGGTTGGGTCATGACGGCTCATGCGTGCGTCAAATGTGGGATGAATGGGGTATGGTCATCCATCCCACAATGGGAATCCTTATGATGAATGATGGATATGATATCCCATGATATCCCATGATATCCCTATTCATGGAGTGATTGTACGCATGTCTTGCCAAACTGCAATGGGGACCCTCTGGGGACTTTGGAAGCCCTCTGGTTGACCTCCGGCTTTTTGATTTGAGATGCTGCAATGGGGATCCCGGGGTGTCGTTGCACCAGTCGAATTTTGGCCGACAGTGCTAGCAAGTTCATGCCTCATGTGTAGTGGCCAGGGGCGCATCAGATCCAATATATGCAATGTTGATTAGCATTGGGACAGATTGATGTGCTCCTGCGCGGTGAATGATGAAATATGATGAAATATCGGGTTGAAGAAAATTACCGCAATCATAATAGATCGACCTGGCAGGCAGCGCCATGGCATTCACATATCCAAACATGTCTTGAATCGGAGTTGAATACAGCATTATGGAAGATCAAAATGTGCAAGTGGTTGAACGTTTTTTGCTGAACGTTTTAACCCTCATACCTTTGTCACAATCTGATTGACATACATCATGCACGGCTCGGCATGAAGATTTGCAACCTTGCAACCTCAAAATGCAAAACACACTGGTTGATTGGGCCGCAAAGAGGAGCTAGGCTACCGAGATTGAACACCCAACTTGAGAGCAGGCGGAGGCGGACGAAAGGTAGTGTAGTGGGAGAGGAGTGGTGTCAAGTTTTTGCGCAGTCTAAGATGATTTTATCCAGAGCAGTATACTGCATGATACGGTGTCTTGTGCAGCGTGAAATGATGCACGAAAACGGGTTTATTTAAAACCCCTTTTTAACACCCCTTGCAGCAACTGTTATTGAGGCTGAAGCATACCAATTATGCTGGACTACAGGGACATCTCCGTCATGGAAAGTGTGCCTCTAATGTGGGGGCCCGTGACCGCGTCACCCGTGGGAATTGAACCCATGACCATTTTAGAGAGGGGGGGGGGCCCTTATCAAAGGAAGTTTAGGGGGAGAAACTTCCGTGTTACGGACTTTTAGAATGTCAGGGAAAGAGTTAGTCAAAGAAAGAGTTAGTGAGGGAAAGAGTTAGTTAGGGAAAGAGTTAATTGTAACTTTTAGACTGTCAGGGAAAGAGTTAGTCAAAGGAAGAGTTAGTTAGGGAGAGAGTTAATTGTAACTTTTAGAATGTCAGGGAAAGAGTTAGTCAAAGAAAGAGTTAGTGAAAGGTAGTCAAAGAAAGAGTTAGTGAGGGAAAGAGTTAGTTAGGGAAAGAGTTAATCAGGGGGAAAGAGTTAGTCAAAGAAAGAGTTAGTGAGGGAAAGAGTTAGTTAGGGAAAGAGTTAATTCAGGGAAAGAGTTAGTCAAAGAAAGAGTTAGTGGGAAAAGAGCTAATGTAAAGACATCTTCCAGTGGATTTTTGAAGGAAGTCTCGCACGAAATGCGTTTTTGAGAGATAGCAGATGCACGAAACCCTATGTTTTTCCATACAAAGTCCGTCCCCGAACCTGATGACTACCTCTGCGGTGCGACGGTTGCGAGACGGTCTCGTGTGTGGTCGGCTCATGGCGGATGGGCGGATCATGGTCGGATCATGCTCGGATCGGTTCCGCCTTGTAAATGGGGTTCAACTGTTTTCGTGCATGTGCGTCGACAGAATTCCATTGTGATTTGCACGTAGCTCGTTCCCGCAATTGTCCAATTGGCAGCTTCGTTCGGGGCCGAGTTAATTGGAACTTTTAGATGTCAGGAAAAGTTAGTTCAAAGAACGAGTTAGAATGGGATTGCAAGTGGTGCTGGTGGATGAGTTGCCGATGGAGTTTTGAAGGAAGTCTCGCACGAAATGCGTTTTTGAGAGATAGCAGATGCACGAAACCCAATGTTTTTCCATACAAAGTCCGTCCCCGAACCTCGATGATCTACCTCTGCGGTGCGACGGGTGCGAGACGGTCTCGTGTGTGGTCGGATCATGGTTGGATCATGGGCGGATCATGGTCGGATCGGTTCCGCATTGTAAATGGGGTTTCAACTGTTTTTCGTGCATGTGTGGTCGACAGAATTCCATTGTGATTTGCAACTGTAGAATCGTTCCCGCATTGTAAATGGGGTTGCAAGTGGTGCTGGTGGATGAGTTGCCGATGGAATTCCATTGTGATTTGCAACTCTAGGATCGTTCCCTCACTGTAAATGGGATTGCAAGTGGTGCTGGTGGAGGAGTTGCCGATGGAGTTTTGAAGGAAGTCTCCCACGAAATGCGTTTTTGAGAGATAGCAGATGCACGAAAGCCTATGTTTTTCCATACAAAGTCCGTCCCCGAACCTCGATGATCTACCTCTGCGGTGCGACGATTGCGAGACGGTCTCGTGTGTGGTCGGATATGGGGGATCCCGGTTCCGCATTGTAAATGCGGGTTTAACCTGTTTTCGTGCATGTGCGGTCGACAGAATTCCATTGTGATTGGCAACTGTAGGATCGTTCCCTCAATGTAAATGGGATTGCAAGTGGTGCTGGTGGATGAGTTGCCGATGGAATTCCATTGTGCTTTGCAACTGTAGGATCGTTCCCGCAATGCAAATGGCATTGCAAGTGGTTTTGGAGCTACAATTTCCGACGCCGTTGCGCGTAGTTCTATTGTGTTTTGCAACTCAGTCTCTGCAGATCGCATTGTAATGGCGTCAAGGTTGCTGCGTGCTGTGGCTGCATTCGTAATACTATTGTCTTTTGCAGCTGGATCTCGTAAATCGTATTGGAGTGGCTGCATGAAGGCTGCGACATGGATTTGTTAGCAGATTTTCTCCATTTTGGCGCTAGTGATTTTTCTTCTAAAAATCCTTTTAAAAAGTGCTTCAAAATCGTCTTTTTTTCGCTCTGGCGTCGAGATCCGGTTTTGGAGCTACAATTTCCGACGCCGTTGCGCGTAGTTCTATTGTGTTTTGCAACTCAGTCTCTGCAGATCGCATTGTAATGGCTGCGTCAAGGTTGCTTCGTGCTGTGGCTGCATTCGTAATACTAGTGTCTTTTGCAGCTGGATCTCGTAAATCGTATTGGAGTGGCTGCATGAAGCTGCGACAGTGATTTGTCAGCAGATTTTCTCCATTTTGGCGCTAGTGATTTTCCTTCTAAAAATCCTTTTAAAAAGTGCTTCAAAATCGTCTTTTTTTCGCTCTGGCGTCGAGATCCGGTTTTGGAGCTACAATTTCCGACGCCGTTGCGCGTAGTTCTATTGTGTTTTGCAACTCAGTCTCTGCAGATCGCATTGTAATGGCTGCGTCAAGGTTGCTTCGTGCTGTGGCTGCATTCGTAATACTATTGTCTTTTGCAGCTCGACTTCGTAAATCGTAATGGAGTGGCTGCATGAAGGCTGCCACAGTGATTTGTCAGCAGATTTTTCTCCATTTTGTCGCATTAGTGTTTTTTTGTTCCACGTAAGTTTAGAGCAGTGTGAAGTGTGGGGCGTAAAGAGTGTAGTGTGAAGTGTGAAGTGTGAAGGAAGCAGTGGGAAGTGGGGGGTGTGAAGTGTGGAGTGTGAAGTGTGCAGTGTGGAGTGTGAAGTTTAAGTTTGGAGTGCGAAGAGCGCAGTGTGAAGTGTGAAGTGTGAAGTGTGAGGTTTGGAGTGCGAAGGAAGCAGTGAGAAGTGAGAAGTGTGGAGTGTGAAGTGTGAAGTGTGGAGTGTGAAGTTTGAAGTTTGGAGTGCGAAGAGTGCAGTGTGCAGTGTGAGGTGTGGAGTGTCGAGGGAAGGACACGGTCGGGACAGGTTGTCTTTGAACTGTGGGCCATTTATGTTTGGGAAACTTCCGCCGCCGGCTTGCCCGGGTCTATGTTAATTGATATCCAATACATAACGGCGAGAATTCCATGAATTCCACGGGCTGGCCCCCCAATACCCCCTATGATTGTGCTGAAGCACGGAGAACTCAGGTAGCTGACGCTACCTTTCGTGACATCTGGCCATATGTGGCCTGCCGCATTTCAACTCCTCACTGCTTCGCGGTGAAACATCGAGGGTTTCATTGGAGAATTTTCACCGCGAAACCAAGGCGCAATGGGCATTGAGAGCCGCGCAGCATGCCGATGCTCTGAACAGCCCCGGTATCATCCCCAATGGATGCTTTGAGGCGAATCAAGAATGAAAGTCTGCAGGCAGCTTTGCTCTGCTTAAACATCCCGCATGTCTCGGTTCTTGGTCTCTGCAGGCAAGCTAAGCCAAAAACTGGGTTTTGCGATGAAAGATCGGCTCACACGTCGTATGCGGTCATTGTGTCGCCAAAGCTTTACACCAGTAGCGCACTCAGAAAATGCTGCGGGCAAAGCTGCACGCTGATTGACATGCCGATTCATGGCGATTGAGCTGGC